ATCGCAACAAGATCCTCGCCTGTCAGTGAATACAGGTAGAGTTTCCGGCCAACGTTCTGCAGATATGTCTGTAGCCCTGCAACAATGCTAACGGTTTTGTGTAGTGATTCTGGAAATCACTGCATTATTAGAAGGATCAGTTCTTTTGGTTGAGACAGCTGACATGGTTGTCTAATGCGAACACGTGTCCGCACTCTTGTCGAGGAACGGATAGGCTATTTTCACTAGGTGACTGACTTCCCTGCGCAATTCCGTCCAGTCCTCATCAGGGTTCCAACGCTGCTTCTCAAATTCTGCAAGGTACTGTGGTTGCTTGAACGACGGGTGCAGCAGTTCAGGAATCACACCGTCAAACTCGTAGTTTCCTTTGACAGCGACCAACCGAAAAATCATCTTGGCTTTCCGGGCCAACGATACAAGTAAACACTGCACTTTGTCCTCCTCGGTTCAGCCCTGATGGAAGCAAATCCGTCAAACGATTCGTCCTCTTGAACAAAGGCAGAATCAGAATTTCTCGCTTCATCTTTCCCGCTGAAGCAGCCATGCTGCATTGCTTCTTCACCGAGGATTCCGTGTCCAAAGTCATGTTGATGACCCCGCTTCCATCACCAATTATGCCGTCGACGACCGTTAGACTCGATAGCTCATGTGATTTACTCGATACCGCTCGGCAGTCATCACACGGAAGATATCGTGAACGTTTGCTGCGTCATACGGAACACTGCTACAGAACACCCCCCCCCCGTAGCACTGGCACTAGCACTGGCTGGTTCTGCTATAAGGACAGACTTCCGATTGACTTCCGGTTCTCGAAAGGCCAATCATCACGAACGGGAAGTCATTTCTCTGCGACTCTATGAATTTCGATAATCAGCCCTTAGTGCCAATCACAAACTGCTTAACGGGGCAGGTTTCGCCCTCGAATATTCCGACATGTTACACATGGAAATGGAGATCAGTGCTCAAACAGTAACTTAATGAAAAACGAACGTCAGAAAATACCAGGTCATGAAAGTGCAAGCAAGGCTGACGTTCCAACGTTTGCAACCTTTCGTATTTATACAATACCTGTGTGGTATAAATTTTTTTAACAGCGAACGAAAGGGCTGTATTACAGATTATTATTGAAGGGAATGCCACCTTGAGCAACTAATCCAAAATTGTCTCATATGAAAATTCAGCATCCGCTTACTAAGAAAGATGTGGTCCTCCACTGACTGACTGAAGAGAACATCGCGATGCACGTGTCACATGCACAACTGGATATTCCAGTACTCACAGCCGAATGCGAGTGCAAGGCAGATAGTTTAAGACTAGGCCATCTAACCTGTGAATTTTTGTTCTACTAACTAAATGGTGATAGGGCGATGGCACATAATGCGTCAGAAGCTCTTTCAATGACTTTAGCGTTCAAGCCTTGAACTTCACGATGCATTTCTAGACGTCACACGGAAATCTGAATTGGCTGTTTTATTCATGATACTTTCTTGGTAACTAAACGTCTAAAAAATAAAATCAGACACTCAGTCAGTTTTGATGACCGCGTATCCTTTCCGATCGCGGAGGCCGACGCAATATACAGTGTTTCTATCGTTCCCAACTCTGTACCAGCGTCTGAGCATGCATCGTCAGAAGATAACCCAGTTATTGAGCAGAACCCTTATAGACAACAGCTTCAAGTTATTTTTGGCCGTCTCAAAAATCTTGGACCTGTCGGTAGAAAAATGAAAGCACTAAAAAAAGTACACCTGGATAAATGGTTTTTGCATTGTGTTTTAGCAGAATAAAGGCAACATTTCTACATATATTCAATATAATGACTGATTGATGCATTCATCCCTGGTGCGATACACAAAAATGTGGCTGCGCTACTTTTGCGTGAATACCATATTCTCAACCAATATCAGATAAAGAGAACAGGTGTAGAACGAAAACGACACCGAAGTGCAGAGAAGCCCTAACTGTGTGTGACGAAGCACTGGAAAAAAATTACCATCACCCATAACTATAGCCGGTGTGTTCTTTTCTCAACCAGAAGTACAGACCGCTATAAGAGAATGAGCAGCAGTTGGGCTTTTCGCTTCGTTGAAGATCAAGT